CTCGCCGGCCAGGGGGGGGGGGGCGCCGCTGCCGCGCCGCGCCGCTGGGGGAGCTGTGCTCGCGAGAGAGATAAGGGTATCTAGATCCTCCCTCTCCTCCTCCTCCTCCTCCTCCTCCTCCTCCTCCTCCCCCTCCTCCTCCTCCTCCTCCTCCTCCTCCTCTCCTGCTCCTCCAGCCTCCTGCTCCTCATTCCTCCTCCTCCTCCTCCCCCTCCTCCTTCTCCTCCTTTTCTCCTGCCGCCTTCCTCTATGTCTCCTCCTCCTTCCTGCCGTTTTCCTCCATGTCTCCTCCTCCTCCTTCTCCTGTTCGTCCTCCTCCTCCTCCTCCTCCTCCTCCTCCTCCTCCTCCTCCTCCTCCTCCTCCTCCTCTTCGTAAGCGCCGTCGTCGTCGTCGTCGTCGTCGTCGTCGTCGGTATCCAAGTCGCCTAATTTCGCGCATCGCGCCCCGCGATTCGCGACGCGCGGTCATCCTCGCGCCCCCGCACACTCGCGCCGCCCCCTTGGCTAGGGGCAGACGCCAGGGCTCAGACCGCGACGCGCGAGGCGCGTTCATCATCTTCGCGCCCCCGCGGGTGACGTGGGATACCAGTGGCGGCAACTAGACTCGGCCAAGAAAGGCTTGGCCAGGCTGAACTGGGCCAGCTGAACTCGGCCAGGCTAAACTCGGCCGACTGATCCCGGCCAGGCTGAACTCGGTGGAGCTGCATTCGGCCTGGGCCTAATTCCACCTGGCCGAGTTCAGCTGGCCGAGTTCGGCCTGGCCAAGGTTCGCATGGCCGAGTCTTTCCCTTGTCTCAATGGCACGCTGCCGCTCGTAGCCAGTCAGCGCGCTGCCACCTCCGCGCCCCCACGCCGCCCCCCCTGGAGGAGGGCAGCTCCCTGGGTCACCTAACTTCGCGCATCGCGCTCCGCGATGCGCCGTCATCCTCGCCTCGCGCCGCCCCTTCGGAGGAAGGCAGCCGCTCTGGCCCAGACCGCAACGCGGGAAGCGCGGTTATCTTTGCGCCCCGAAGGGTAACCTAGCTGACACAGGCCGCCAGACTTGGCGCGCGCGGCCATCTCTGCGTCCACGCGCCGCCCCCTCTGGAGGGCAGGCCTCCACCGTGTGCTGCCAGAACCGCCCCTGGACTAAGGCCGCGCTAATGGCGATGTTGGTTACATGGCAGTGAGATTGGGAGTGTGGTACTTGCGACGCCGAAATTGCGCAGAACAGATCGTAGGAAATCGCGAACCACACTTTCCTTCTGTTCAAATGCGCGAACGTATCAAACGAAAACGGTACGCTTTCCTAGAATCGACCACTAACCAGTCCCACCCACAATACCGAAGCGACGTCGTCGTTACCTACATCGCCATTAGCGCGTCTACGGGGTGAGCGGCGAAAGGGAACGGGTCTTACGCGAGATGGCAGAGCGACCTTACGCGGCGGCTTACGCGGGCCGCCAGCGCGGCACGCCACTTTGGAAAAGAGGACGCTCTCGCGCGACCTTACGCGGGTAGCCTACGCGCCAAGGTCAGTGAAGACGAGCTTGTCTTTCTTGTCGCTCAAATGGGAAACGTTTTTCCCCAAACAACTTGCTGAACGGGGTGCTGTTGTGATAGAAACTAACTCTGGCCGATGGAAAAGGGAACAAAAATATCCTTAAACTAATCTGGTGGTCCGGGCCGTTTCGCTTGAAACATCCTCACAACTCTCGTTTCTGAATTGTCCGGGATTGGCCGTTTTGCCCGAGACATCCTTGAACATCGGGACTCTGGAACGCCGCGCGCGAGGTGGTCTGGGCCGTTTCGCCTGAGACATCCTCGAACATCTGGGCTCGGGGACGCCGCGCGCGAAGTGTTCTGGGCCGTTTCGCCTGGGACGTCCTCGAAACTCTAAGCCTCGAGATGCCGTGCGAGAAGTGGTCCAGGCCGTTACTCTGCGTTCCGAGCTGCCGCGAGGTGGTCTGGGCCGTTTCGCCTGAAACGTCCTCGCAACTCGGGGTTCCGAGATGCCGCGCGCGAGGTGGTCCGGCCCGTTTTGCCTGAGAAATCCTCGCAACTCTGCGCGCCGAGCTGCCGCGCACGAGGTGGTCTGGCGCGTTTCGCTTTAGACATCGGCCACCGTGCCGCTGGGCACGGAGTGAGCATGTATTCAGGTCCTTCCACTGCCCCTCTGAGCCTGTCGCCACTCAAGGAGGGATTCAGAGCCTCTCGGGCCAAATCTTCTCGGGCGGCCCGCGTCGGCCCGGGGTTTCTACGCGTCTTGTCGCGTGACTGTTTCGGACCTAAGAGGGCCCCAAGAGGACCCCAAACAGCCCTCAAGACGGTCCGAGGAGGCCCCGAGTCGCCGAAACATCGCTCCAAGACGCCCCCAGACGGCCCAAGAGGTCCCCAAGACTCCCAGAGAGGCCCCCCAAGACGCCAAAATGATTGATTTCCTTAGATTTTTGAAACATGTTGGCGTTCTCGCCTTTTCGGCTTCCTGACGCTCCCGGACGGCCCTACAAGCCCCCAAGACCGCCCCAAGACAGCCCAAGAGGCCTCCAACGCCCCAAAACAGACAAAGAGGGCCCCATGACAACCCAAGAGGCGCCCAAAACGGCCCAAGAGGGCCCCAAGGCGGCCCCAAAAGGGGCCCAAAAGAGGGAACACGAACCGAAAATCCGAGCCTTCCACCCCAAGATGCCCCCAGGATGCCCCAAGAGGCGCCCAGGATGCCCAAGAGGCTCCCAAGAGGCGCCCAAGAGGCCCCCAGAGGCCCCCACGAGGCCCCCAAAAGGCCCCCAGAGGCCCCCAAACGGCCCCCAAAGGCGCCCAAACTGTCTCCAAAAGGCCTCCGAAAAATCCTCCCACGAGATCCCAGCGAGCATCCATTAGGCTTCATCCCCACAACCCAGGCACGGTGGCGGAATGGGCCGGAGGCCATTCGATCCTCGCAACTCTGAGCTTCAAGCTGCCGCGCGAGAGATGGTCCGGCGCCTTTCCCTTGAGACTTCCTCGCGCCCGTCAGCTCCGAGATGCGTATCGAGAAGTGGTCCATTTCGTTTCGCCTTACACATCCTTTCAACACTGAGCTGTGAGAAAATGTGCGCAAAAATGTGTGTGGCCCTTTTCTCTTGAAATATAATGGACATTCGGGGTTCCGACATGCTGCGGGCGAGGTGACCCGGCCAGTTTGCCTGAGACTTCCTCGAAACCGAGATGCTGCGCGCGAGGTGGTCTGGCGCGTCTCGCCCGAAGCATCCTCGCACCTCTGGGTTCCTGAAGATGTGGGCGGGGTGGTCCAGCTCGTTTTTCGTGAGATATCCTCGCAACTCTGGGCTCTCAGAAAATGTTCACGAAGGAAACTTTGGGCTCCGAGGTGGAGGAGAGAGAAGCGAGGAGGAGTCAGACCCAAACGCCACTTGATTAATTACACTTATATGTTGTCGAACTGTGCTCTGGGTAAGATCTGGGCGCCCCTGGCCCAACGGAAAAGGTAGCTGGCGCCGCGGCGCGAGCGCGAATCCTCAGTAGGTTACAAGGGCTGGCCAGATAGGGGGCATGCTCAAGCAAATCGTGGCGATGCCTCGACTAGAACGCGGCAGGCAGGGAGGACGCATGATAACGGGGACGAAAAAAAAAAATGAAACAGCTCCGACATGCTGCGCGAAAGGAATAATGGAAAAAAAAAGGGACCAAACTCAACCGCTACCTGTTAGAGGGCATACCTGGCGAGGGTGTTTCCTGGAAGTAGCATTGCGAATGCGAAGGCATCTCTGGCATTGAGGTGGAAGCGGGGAAGAGGAGGGAAAACGATGAGGAGGAGGAGGAGGAGGAGGAGGAGGAGGAGGAGGAAGGAGGAGAGGAGGAGGAGGAGGAGGAGGAAAAGGAGGAGGATATAGTGGAAGAGGAGGAGGAGGATATAGTGGAGGAGGAGGAGGAGGAGGAGGAACAGGAGGAGGAGACAGAGCAGCAGCAACAGCAGCAACAACAGCAGCAGCAGCAGGACGAGGACGAGGATGAGGAGGAGGAGGAACAAGAGGAGGAGAAAAAACAGTAGCAAAAGCAGCAAAAACAGCAGCAGCAGCAGCAGGAGGAGGAGGAGGAGGAGGACGACGAGGACGAGGAGGAGCAGGAGGAGGAGGAGGAGGAGAAGGGGGGGAAATGGAGGAAGAAAATGACAGGGTGAACGAGGAGAAAGTGGAGGGGGAGGAGGAGGAATGCGAGGGTGAGGAGGAAATCGAGGAGGAGTAGGAGTAGGAGTAGGAGTAGGAGTAGGAGTAGGAGTAGGAGTAGAGTAGTAGGAGTAGTAGTAGTAGTAGTAGTAGTAGTAGTAGTAGTAGTAGTAGTAGTAGTAGTAGTAGTAGTAGTAGTAGTAGTAGTAGTAGTAGTAGTAGTAGTAGTAGTAGTAGTAGTAGTAGTAGTAGTAGTAGTAGTAGTAGTAGTAGTAGTAGTAGTAGTAGTAGTAGTAGTAGTAGAGTAGTAGTAGTAGTAGTAGTAGTAGTAGTAGTAGTAGGAGTAGGAGTAGGAGTAGGAGTAGGAGTCAAGCTAGCCAGCTCGAGCGAGTCAAGCATGGCATGCCCAGTCCCACCCGCCCTCCCACAACATAAGAAGCAAAGCTGGCACAACTGGGGGCCGAAGTCACACCGGCCAGCCGGTTTGGTACAGCTGATGCGGCCGCGATGGCGGTTGCCGACGGGAACTGGCGAGCGCGTGTTGAATGCCGCGCACGCATTGCCAGACGAGTCGAGAATGGCCCGGTACACCGCAGGAAGCCAGAGGTGGCCGGAGGAAGCCCGACGGTCTGACAGGACACCCCAAAGCATTTTTGTGAAAAAGCATTGGGTTTTTGATGTTTTTATGTTGAAATGCTTGCAAACACACGGTGTTCGGTAGGATTCTGACATGAACGCGCGAGTGTGCTCTTTGTTGCATTTTTTGCACAGGATTCGCGGCCTGGGTGCATGACAGAGCATCGCGAGTGCACCGCGCGATGACGTGAAATCGCTGGATTTGACCGAATTCTTAAGATTCCT